AACATGGAAAATACAAAAATGCAGAGCTAAATGAAAAAAGGATAAACAGGCCGGCAGTAAATCGTTCCATACTTGGCTATTATCGATCAGGCTGCAGGGCGCAAGGCTGCGACCGCTTTCTTTGGAAAAACGTCATTGGAGCGCGGTTGTTGGACTTGCCAACGTCCTGGGGTCTGTTCGGGGGGTTATATCTTTTTAGGTGCGGAGCTTTTGAGGAATGGTGAGCAGCATGCAACGGCAAAGTTTCTACTATTGTGTATTCTACCTAGCTGCAAACTGAACAATCCCCCGTTGGTGAAATATTCCGGATGGGTCACGGTTCGGCCAGGGGTAAATCGCGAGCTGGTTTCCATGATTCACACAAGGACTGCCTTCGTTCAAAACGCAATTTCATCAGGACTGAAGTCGTCTTGAAACCCCTCCATCTTTTCTCTTTCCAATAAGCTTTACAGTTTTTCTGAAGACCCACTAGTTCAGGAGATATTTTAGATGGGTCACAGATGCGCCACCCTCTGACCCACCCGAAAAATTGACTCCTTATGTGCCATTGTGAGGATACACCTTCGGAAACTTCAGTGTGCCTTCAAAACACATATTTCCCTTCAAATGAGTGAAAGAGAAGCTCGGCTATCTCTGATCGATTTTGGTCCGTGCGCCGTGCATTAGGCTCCTACGCAGAGGTGGTGGAAAGGTGTAAATTCTAATTTCAGGTGCTTTTATCCATGCAAGCAGATGTTTGTTTAGGGTTTGTAAAGGACAACACGCACGAATCTGTTTGAGACGTATTATTTAGTCATCTACGTACTTACGAGTTCATGCTATAAACTGACACTTATTTATTTATTTATTTATTCTTGCTATATTGCTAATAAATCTTTTATTATTTTGTATTCCTATTTACATCCGGGTCTTCTGAAGCTTTCCGTCCGTTCCATTACCCTTAGCAATGACACCTTTGTACTGTTTGATGCCTAGCGAGCCTACTTTTGCGATACCCCACGTCCCCCGCGGCCAAGTACGAACCCATTCTTGGGGATTTCCCATGAAAAGAGGGCTGTTAAACGTAGCATTTAAAGCTGTAAAGAATACACTCATAATAAACTTCATTTTTTTAAACATCTTGACTTCCATAGCTCCACTCCCACCCCCCCCCCCGCCCTGACCTCCATAGCTCCACTCCCACTATCAACTGAAATGTCGAACCATTGCTCGGCTCTGAGTGACCCTTGAGATTACGACCCCCCTCTCCATCGGCCAGGTACGACCCCCCCCCCCATGGGTTTGGCACAACGATGCTGTACCCTTGTTGGTGCACCCTTCCGCCCCTATCAGATCGCAGAGTTCCATTAACCCTCTTCATTATTATTCGATTTCGATGTCCCCTGTCCCAACCCTTTCCTGATTCTTATGTCTTGTGGGTCACTGGAATCCTGTCAAGATTTTCCGTGCTCGTTTATTGTAATTGCCATATTTGTACCCATTAGTTAGTTGTACACTTGAACATGTATCATGTTATATTGAACAGCTCTGCTTGTTTCAGACGTACTCAGGAAATTCAATCCTAATTTGTTTGGCTACTCAACTGGAACTGGAAAATGGGATTCATGGGAGGTGAATAAATCAGTTTCTACAACGTTTCGGAATTGTGCATTTTCACAATTTAAGAACTGGCAGAGGGATAGTCTCATTCCCTGCCAAAACTCTCCCGAGATTTAGCACAATACCGCGAGCCGACAGATGTCGAGTGCTTTTCATTTGGCTAAACATGATTTCTATCAGGCAGTGGCGACTTCCAGCACAGAGTCGCATTTGTGTTCGAAACTGGCTCATATCGACTTTTGATCAAGTCCACAATACTGCAAAATCCGAATGGAGGAGGACCAGCAGGCAGCTTCCCAGCGCTTCGGCCATTCGCAGTGGGGCTGGCGGAAAGTATAGATATCAATCCAGCAACAGCAACCAGCAGCGTCCAGGAGTGGAGAGTATGGGGCATAGGAGGGTAGAAGACAGTCGGTAAAGTATGGAGAGATAGGAGGGTATCTGGTAGATAGTGTGGGGCGATGGGAGAGTAGCAGCTATCTGCTCCCTCCTATCGCCGCATACTACCCACTCCTGCACGCTTCTGACCACTGGTGGACGCTGGACGCTGGTGAATGCTGGTAGACGCTAGATCGGCTTTACATTTTCCTACTTTATCTGACGCCTTGTGAAACCGAGAGCGAGCACCATGCGTCGGTGGCGTGTACGCCTGCGCTTCTCGCGTAAACTCATGAACGCAGTCTAAGGAACTGACAGTCGCAATGCGCAATATAGGGAAATATTTAGGCATAGCACTGTAAAACGCGGCTTCTTAGCATTATCGAACATGAGGAATTCGGGTCATAGAAATCATTGATTTCCTTGTTCAAAGGTGTCGAAGTTCAACATGGCGGTTCCGGGAAGTGAGGCTAAAGACTATTGGTAGTGCAAGCCCAACAAACGTTCTTGTCGATCTTAATGACGCTAAACGCCCTGTCAGGTAAGTTTCAGGCATAGATCTTACATATTCAAGCCTACTTGTAATAAAGGCTAATTGGGTATTCTGGTGCGGGTATTATTACAGAGGCTAAGGGCCTCTGTAATAATACCCCCACCAGAATACCTTGTCATTCCCTCGTGGCCTCTCCAGTCAGAGTCTAGCTTTTATCAGGTGATGAAAGCACAGCTTCAGCCTTGGCTGGCTGGTATCTCAGGCACTTCAAGCTTGATTACGTGACTACCATCAGTAAAAGAGAATACTGCAAACCACTGAAGCTCAACCTGATCTCAAGCTTTGAACTTCAGGTAAACATAACAAACGATTGGAAACTCGTCCTTATTTTCGTTGGTGGGAATGATGTGTGCCGTTACTGTTTATGATGCTTAATGCAATCGCAACAGCATAAGTAATTAAATCGCATTATCTCATACGTTAAAAACTGCTTCAGCCAGAGAATGCTTTGAAGGATCTTGTAGCACTGCTCACGTTGGTTGTGGGGCGGGGACAGCCAGCCTTTCAGTCTTTCTCATTTGTTGCTCGCTTGCTTTGCATGGAAATTCGCCGCAATAGTGCAAAGCGCAATGGTAATCGTCCGCGGCCATAGGCGGCTAACCATGAATTGTCGGCGTTAGGGATGTATTCAGGTAAGGCCTGATCGATATCATCCACCTTACCTAGAGCGCTCCGTAACTATTGAACCCAGTCAGCTCTAGCCTTCATGATCTAGCCGCCACTTTGCCACCAACTGATCCTTTCACGCCACAGATATTTACACTTCATATGCCGAAGACTGTCAGGGTGTGGCTGCATACTTCGTTTCACCCTGGTGGCAACAGCGTTTTTGATTCGATATTCATTTTTGTAACAACTGCAGATCATGTCTTTACCAACTAGACTATATGACAGTTGTTATAAACGCGAATATCTCTGCGGCCATCCTAGCCATGCCCAACAGAAGTGTGCAGCCATGCCAAGTGTGTCGCAGGGATTCGGGTGCGCAACCATTGAAATAGTGGAATAGTCACGAATGTTGCCTTCACTTTTCATTTCATGACCAGGGATAAAACGTCAAGCATACCAAATGAAACCTCCATTGCTACCGGTTGGCTGCTCGGCATTAAAGTTGCTAGATAGAATGAAAACACTGAAAGCACACCTTTCTCGACCCCGAACAAATAGGCACCGCTGAGAGGATGTGTCTTTGTTGCTTTCGAAGGAAATGATATGAGTGGAGCTTTTTGGAATTCTCTCTGTAAGGTATTCATAATTATATGCATTTAGTCAGCCCACGGAGCAGACACGTACAAGAGCAATCTCATCAAAGCGATCCAGATTTTGAAGGATAATTTGCCACGGTAGGTATAATAAGCTTTCAAGAGTCTGTAGTGCAACACAGCAAGTAGGGAAACTGCTTCAGACATGGGCTCTGGGCTCTTGGAGGGGTAGTCGTGCTACCACACTTTTTCCTTGATTTGGTGCACTTAGTAGGGAGCTCGGCAAAACTAGGCCATGTCTGCCGCCTAGATGCCAAATTTTAGGCACGCCATCGTCATTCGCAATCAGCATGCGTTCTTTTTGGAGCAAATACCGGGCACATGGCAGTTCCAGAAACATCTGTGACTTTCGAAGGCTAAGGAACCGTTGTGAGCCGGCCGTTCGTAAAAAGAGAACGATGTCATCACCCCGCTGCTATAGTTCTCAATCAGCGACGGAGCTCTCTAGTTGTACCTTCTTCACTGAGCTTCGTAACCGGGGTAAGTGGCCGGGCATTCTACAATACTTCCCGCGCCAGTGGCCGTCGCGTGCGACGGGTATATGGTAAGAGTGTCGTAAATCGCCGCAGCAGTGGGCGTCGCGTTCCACCCGCTAAAGTCGACGATTTTAGGTGTATTGATCGAGAATAGACGATGTCCGACCAAAAATAGACATAAGTGTCCACCATGTCCTTGTCTACATGAAATCCGATGCTCCAATCGAAAGGGTAGTGCAAATTAAGGAAACGTCGCACCCATTGCCGCGCGCGACACAGCGGCAATCTATGATTCTCTCGCACGCCTATGTCGGAACAGATTTGCTACATCATCTGCTAGGCGGAACCGCGCGTGTGAAAAACCGTTATCGCGAACCATAAACGCTGACTATAGGGGAATGTGGGGAAACGTTTAGAATTTCATAAATAGCAGTAATGGTCCTGGTATTCCACGCTCAGCGCGATATCACTTTGCCTTGCCTAGGAATCACATTGCCAAAAAAGACTAACACATACCTTGATATTTCACAAACACCTTCAGGACCATCGTATCAATAACCGGAATGATGGACATCGAAATCCTTCGACCTGTCGATAAGCGCAAGTTGTTCTGCGTTGGATTGCACTAGTAGGTTTTGAACTTTTATTTTCGATTCTTCAAAAAGACATCCCTCAATTAAAATGTGTGGGATCCGGATCGGACTATATTCCCTTAGCGTGCTTCTAGATGCTATTCAAGTTAACATTGTAAAAAAGTGGTCAAAAGCGTGGAAGATGCCCTATATGGACTCTCAGCATTGGACGCTTTTTCGAAGAAATGATACAGTA